CTCCCAAAGAATCGATCGGAAAAGCGCAGTAACCATGCAGTCCAAGTGGACTGGGCCGGAATCACCCTACCTGCCTATCCGCCTATCCGCGCCTCTGGCTTGGTCTTGTTTGCAAGAGGATCCCTTAGTTGACAAGCTGACCTCATTGATGATCGAAGCCATAAGTAAACAAAACCCGGCAACCCTGAAAGAAGAAACAATATAATGTGAAAGCAAACTAAAACTGCAATGGGGTCTTCGCAGCTTGTCATGAAGGAGCTTAAGCAACGACGACTGCGACGTCAACGAGAACGGCAAAAAAGCAATAAGTTTGGATTGAAAAAACAACAACTCTGCGCGTGCATCACGCTTTTTTGTACATTCCCCCGTCACTGCACGACTATGTCGTGAAAATGCCTTATTTCGCGTTTTGTGGAGGGCGTGAACCGGCAAGGCAACGACTTTCTTCTTCTTTTTCTGAACTTCGATACAGTCTTTTAGAATTCAACTCCAGAAAAAATTGCCAAGTTTTGACGAGTTGAATGAGAGAGAATAAGCGCGATAAAGTTTGAAGCAGCGCGACTTCACTTTTTAAGCCGTCGTTGTTGCTTAAGCTCCCTATTCACGTGGTACAAAACCGCCCACGCTAGAGAGCAAGGGTCACACTGACACAAGACAAACAATGGAAATTAGCATTTTAATTGATGTACGCCTTTTGTTTTTCCTGTCCCAGTGAGTCCCTTACGTTCTGGCGTGATGGTTTTGTGCCAGGTGAATGATCAGCTACAAAATGCCTACACTGAATTATTGTGTAAGGGACAAAAATAAATAAAAAATAAGAGAGTCATATTGGACTATTCCTTTCTTTTATAGCAATTACAGGAACAACGACGGCCCTTAGTCCCAACAACACTACAACACTCGAAGGTCCATAGTGCAGGCCCTTGACCGCTCCCGGCACTACGAATCACGTTTTAAAGTGCGCGCTCCCAACTTTGGGCGATGGAAGGCAGGGTGTTGCTCCGTTATGATTTTGTGGGTAACTTAGATTTCACATTGACTCAGCGCTTAATAACAGGGGCACCCAACGACAATTTTTGGAAAATATCTGTTCGAAAGACGATTTGAGATCTAGAATTTTCGGAACATTTGTTGTTGAATTTATTGCTTGTCTGCCTCTCCTAGGATTTTCGAACCACCCAAAAATGGCATAATTGCCCATTTTTAACGGATTTTTACCCTAAAAAGGTCACCTAGAATTTTCGGGAGCCTTTTTCTGGCTGAAATTTTCGAAAAGGTAAGTTTTGATCTCTATAATTTTCGGATCATAAGACTTTCAGCTAGGAAATCCGAACAGATGAAAAATTATATGCTTCTATCTACCGTAGCTTACCGTTAAAATACTAAAATACGTTCAACAATGCTATGTTTAAGTGGTTTTGAACTATCTTCTTGTTGGGTGCCCCTGATTGTAATCTCACTCAATAACTTTTTTAAATAGCACTGAGTTGTCGAAAAACACGATGGGGTAAATAGCTCAACTTATCTACGTATTAACATGCCATACACCGTTCAATGATGCCAACATCTAACAGAAAAAGTTATTCTCTCTAGGGACTTCACAATGAAATAGCCTTTAATTCTATTAGGTAACACTAGCACGCCGCGTAAAGCGTGTGGCTACCCTACACGTGTCTACGCATTGTGAGTTTCTTATAAAAGGCAAGTTTCTCTTCCCAATAGCGTGCTCAGTCTTTTCGGTGTTTCGCACACTCGCACACTTTCCGTCCAGGCGGAGTAGAAGTTTATAAATGTAGATCTATCTTAATTTATTACTTTATGGTTTGGCTATTAATTGTCTTATTTACTTAAAAGTAGATTCTATGTTGTTGTTTTTTCAGTCAATTTATTTCAGTCGTTTCCGCTGTATCAATAATTTAAATCATAACCATTCAGGCTTAACTGCAAAGACTGTAGAGACATATCCCTTCGTTTTTCTTGTGAACACCAGTTAATTTATTACAAATAGTCAATTTATTTAGTATTTATCTTAATCACTACCCTACAGTACCATCTTTTAAAATTTGTACAGTTGCAGAAATTATAACACATTATCCAAAAAGGTACTACTTTACAACAAAAAGTACATCCCCTTGGTTGTATGCTTTGAGTTTTACAGTGAGTAGCAAATAAAAAAAAAAGTGATTATGTTGTCGTAACCTGAGTGTTTACCCAACGAGTGAAAGTATAGTGACCAACAATTTTCATACACACCAACATAACAATTAGGAAATAAAGATATATGCAGCAGGGAAGTTCATAATCGATATTTCATGGTAACATTTTTCTATTCCACTGAGTATATCAACTTCCATTAGGTCATTTTATAAATTATTAATGTAAAGACCATAAAAAAAAACGAAAGAAAAACATTGACGACTTAGCGCTGCGAACGAATGAAATTTCTCATGCAAAGAAGCGAGGGCAAAAAAATCGTGCAATTTTTGGAATGTGCGCTTCTAGTATTGTAAATCATCCCCCAGTATCAGATACATTGCCCATTTTTTTCTTTATACTGAAACCCGTCTCGTGTTTTAAAATAACTTCGAAGCTGTAAATATCATGATCGAAATCATAAGCCGTCCAGAATTAGGACAAGATATTCTTGGTTTGCAACCACGTGACAAGGCGGCCATGTTGGTAGTCAATACAACAGAATTATTTCATGAAGAATTTACATAAAATCCCAGAGCAGCACTTGTTTCCATATCTCAAACCGCCCTCTCCCTTTTCACTTACACTTACATGAAATTTCTAAGTTTCTTGACTCAGAGAGATGTTTTAGTTCTTGACTATCAACATGGCGGCCGTGACGTCACGTGCAAACCAGCAATAGGTCATTTCCGAGTTCCCCCGGGCCTCTGTATCAAAACGAGGTTAAGTGCTCAGCCTTTGATATGGAAATCATTTTTCATTCTCAGGCAAATAAAACTCATTTTAACAAGAAAGGTTGTGTACTTAGCCTCATTTTGAAAGTGAGGGTTTTTGGAGCTCGGAAGAGGCCTATTCCCGAAAGTTATTTATGTCCTCTTCCGTCTTCAAACCTCCACTCTGCCCCCCCTCCCCAGCCCTTGCTCATTTCTTTTTGTTCGAGAAAAGCCTTGGGCGAGTTATCGTACGTATCGTCAGCGACAGGGCTGAATAACGTACTACGCATGTCCGTGACATCACTTGTTTACTTGTCTAGCCCGTGCGCGAAGCATTTGGGCAAAGTGAAATTCTGGCAAGACCATTTTATCTTCGACCATCCAAACTCATATTTGCGAATGCCAACGAAGGAGAAATTCTACGAATACGTTAGAAATGCAACTCATGGAAAGAAATGTTACGTAACTCCAGGGATCAAGGAAAATGTTTTTGACCGTCCCGGCGAAGGTTTTTCATTGTTTTGATGCAGATCGTCAGTAAGTTTGCAGAAAGATGACTGAGAAATTAAAAAAGAGCAATGTGCTGGAGTTTGGGCGACTTTTCTTCGATGGTACGTAAACGATTTACTTAAACATTACTTTATTCTGGTTAAGGAGGAGCAAATCTGTGAAATGTAGGCCGAGCGATAGCAGTTGTTGACCGTTTCTTGGTGGCAAGAAAGCCGGCTTTGAGCGCGATGATACCATCAGACACAAGAAGTCATGAAAGTCATAAACTTAGTTACAAATCTTAGTGCAATGAAAGAAGTTTTTTCGTACCTCTAGCCGGCTTAGAGGCGCTGGTCGAGCTGTAGAATCAGTATTTATTCAGTTAAGTTTGTTTAAAATTTAATTTGCACCTTTAAGCTTAGAATGAATAAACTTTTAAAGTTTAAAGCTGTTGAAGTTTTGAGAAACAATCACAAGTTGGCTCAGCTCTATGTGAGTTTTCGTATTAACTATAGGTTTTCCATTTATGACAGGATTGAATGAAGCAGAAGAATCAAGGAATGAAGATCTAGACTTTGAAGAGAAAAATAAATGAAAGTTCTTCTCCATGTAATGAAGCCTTTTAGAGAACTTCAAGTCATTAATACTTTTACCAGCAAGCATCGACTGTATTACTTACCCATTTACTCTTTTCAACATTAATTTTGCCTTTTGTCATATATAAAAATTTATAATAGCTCTTTTGAGCTGAGCTAACAATGAGTCATAAAGGGAAACAAGTTTGGAAGAAAGAACTTGATTGAATTCGAAACCTCAGTGATTGTTTTGTGTTCTTACAGTTCTTATAGTGAAACCAAGCGAGATATAACAAGAGAAATAACTAAAAGACCATCATTCAAGGAAAAACAAAGATAAATAAAATGTACCTTTAATACTGACACTGATATGCTGTCCGGACGATTTCTTAGAACTGATAACATATTGATAGTCTGTACTTTCATGTGTTTACGCTTGAAAATGTACACATTCGAATGAAAGAACTGTTTCCGGCTTCGTCCGTGCATCTTCTTTTGTTCATAGCAAAAAACGGAAGAAAAATTGCGAAGGTGGAAACGAGAATTCAATAAAGTATGAAATAATCTACCTTTAGTTTAAATGGGAGCCTTGAATATTCGGAAACCACCTTAAAAATCGGGAAAATGCGAGGATGTTTTGAAAATCCTTTTGCAAACGATACTATCTATAGCGGGGACTCTTCGTTCGTGCGTCTTCTTTTGTTCATAGAAGAAAGTGGAAGAAAAATTACAAAGGTAGAAACGAGAATTAAATAAAGTATGAAATAATCTACCTTTAGTTTAAATGGGAGCCTTGAATATTCAGAAACCACCTTAAAAATCGGGAAAATGTGAGGATGTTTTGAAAATCCCTTTGCAAACGATACTATTATTGAAGGGACGCTTCGTTCGTGCGTCTTCTTTTGTTCATAGAAAAAAGTAGAAGAAAAATTACAAAGGTAGAAACGAGAATTAAATAAAGTATGAAATAATCTACCTTTAGTTTAAATGGGAGCCTTGAATATTCAGAAACCACCTTAAAAATCGGGAAAATGTGAGGATGTTTTGAAAATCCCTTTGCAAACGATACTATTATTGAAGGGACGCTTCGTTCGTGCGTCTTCTTTTGTTCATAGAAAAAAGTAGAAGAAAAATTACAAAGGTAGAAACGAGAATTAAATAAAGTATGAAATAATCTACCTTTAGTTTAAATGGGAGCCTTGAATATTCAGAAACCACCTTAAAAATCGGGAAAATGTGAGGATGTTTTGAAAATCCCTTTGCAAACGATACTATTATTGAAGGGACGCTTCGTTCGTGCGTCTTCTTTTGTTCATAGAAAAAAGTAGAAGAAAAATTACAAGGGTAGAAGCGAGAATTCAATAAACTATGAAATAATCTACCTTTAGTTTAAATGAGAACCTTAAATATTCAGAATCCACCTTAATAATCGCCAAAAAGTGAGGATGTTTTGAAAAACCCATTGAAAACGATACTAGGTTAGATCCCAGACCTCTCCCGTCTATGCACATGCGCAGACGTTGTTCAGCTCTGTCATCATCAGCAGTTTTCAATCACACCCTTATTCAATCAGTTGTAACTACAGCAATGAGCTGACATGCGTATCCAAGTGGGCAGTCACCTTACAAGCCGACTAATTGGCAAAGATGTCTCCCATCGGAAGCCATACGTTCTTGCATTCGGTAGAGTGGAACAAAAACTCCTCGCCCTGCCCCTGAGAGTTGTCAAGCCAGTCTCGGGTCTGACCGTAGTTTACAAAGGTACGTTTCACGTTGACCGCTGATGACCACTCCACAAATTTGCTTCCCTCCGCTGAGCCAAAGTACCACATGGCTTGAACGTCCTGATGTTCGGACAGGTATTTAGTGAGGTGATCGCGGTCCCCTGTGACGATGTTTACAACACCACCGGGCAAGTCCGACGTGTCAAAAATCTACAGAAAGGAAGCGAGAAAAAATATGCAATGTTCCGCATTGAACGAACGAACGAACCTTGCCGGAGACACTGTAAGAATTTTTTAACACACACTGTAACCTAAAATTTCGCATTTATCGCAAAAAGCGCGGCAAAATGGACCGCTAACACCGTCGTTTGAACGTAGTTCGACATAAGGTGATGTTACACTTGACGATTCGTAACGACGATTTTTAGCGCAACGCAGCGTGGCAACATTGGTGCGACATTGTTTCGAATGGTTACAACATTGCTCCAACATTGCAACGTTGTGTTGCGCTAAAACTCATCGTCGTGTAACATCACCTAGAAGGCATAGGGTAATATTTCCGGCGTTCAAATTTGAGTCGAAAAATTGGAAGACGTGTTAAATTCCGGCCCTCCTTTTCGGCAACTTATCCTCGGGATTAGCAGTAACAATTGGAATGCTAATTAAGCGCTGTCAAAGATGGTCGTTTCTTTTATCGCTCCGTCGTTTTCGATGTAAACTCCGCTTATAACCATGGAGCGCACTTAATTTTTACCGAATGGCAGCCAAAACCGACTCACTTGGGAAGAATGACGTTTCCTCTAGAAGAAGGGCAAAAAGAATACGGGAAAAAGGTTCTCAAACTGACGACGACCTCGAGGAGCTTCCCGACCACGAGGGTGACGCCACGCTGAAAGCCCTTGACGATATCAGGAATAAGTTAGAACGCCTACTTCTTCTCAAACCAGCTGTTGATGACCTAAAATCAGTAATTGCTAAACTCACAGAGGAAAATAAGCAACTAATGGAAAGTTTGAATTCTGCAACTAAGGAAATTCAAGAAATTAAAAATGCTGCGGCGGCGACTGAAAAGGTGACTGCTTCGCTTCGCAAAGAAAATGATCAGTTGAAGGCTGAAGTCCACAAATTAGTATGTCGCAACATACGACTTGAAGCTCAGTCAAGAAGAAGCAACTTCAGAGTTTACGGTGTCAGAGATTCTTCACATGAAACTCCAGCAGAAACCGAGCAAGTGTTGAGAAACGTCCTGATACAACAGCTTCAAATACCTGAAGAAGACGTAAACAATATGAGCTTCGAAAGAGTTCATCGAATTTCTAACACCCGAGCTGTTAATCAAACCAACAAATCTAAGAGCCCGCCCAATAATCGCCAAGGCCAGCTTCTATCAACATCTTAACGTTTTCTTAGAATAAGATTGTAATGGGAAAAAAGATCCTTGTGCCGTGTTTGGATGGACTTTTTCTAGTTTAGTATTAGAAATTTGGTCTTTCACTGTATATTTCTCGGGAAAAAAAGCGATCATTATTACATCCAAACACGGCACAAGGATCTTTTTTCCCATTACAATCTTATTCTAAGAAAACTTTAAGAAAAAATGTCTCGAGAAGCGCTCGAAAATACAAACCAAAGGTGCTCATGCCCCCAGGGCATCCTATAATACTCCTTAAATCGAATTATTTCAATATGGCCGCCGTATCGGTAAAAAGGTCTGTTGGTTTTATGAGCAAAACAAATGCTCTGCACGTGCATCACGCTTCTTACTACATTTCTTTGACGTCCACTGCACGACCACGACGTGAAACCTCCCAAAGGGGACGTTTTATGGAGGACGTGGACATACGACGAGAAATTTTCCTTTCTCTATTTGAACATGGATGAAGTCCTTGAGAATTTAATTCCAGGAAAAGTCGCCTACATTTGACAAATTGAGCGGGTTCAAATAGACGCGATAAAGTTTGAAAGGACGCAAATTCAGTTTCTAGTGATGTTTTTACTGTCGTCGTTGTTGCTTAAGCTCCCCAATGATGCAGTGAACGAGAAAGCCACATGATCCTAAAAACATCTAAAAAAATGCTCCGCTTAAGATTAAACATGATTTTAAAACATAGTGCTCCGCCTTTGTCGGTTATCAAAAGAAGAGAGGTCGAGTAAAAAGAGGCATGTTTCAAACTTTAGGCCATAGTATGGGCGCTTATTCGAGTATTCACACACAACAATTGTGTGCCGAAAAATTTATTATAATCGATAATCGATCATAGAATATGTTCAATCGATAATCGCGGGAAAAAATAAACTTCTTGTTACCGAATAAACATATTATTTATGGTCTCATAATTAAAGAAGAAAACGATTATGATCACCTGAAAGCACAGAAAAATTTGGAACTCAGTGGTCCACGATCAAAAAACAGTACTAACGCACAGAATAACTCAGAAAATAAAATGGACATGATTGGTACCTGGTACATATCCACAGCAATCATGGGATGTTTCTGACTTGGTGCGATAACAACAGTGTTACCTCGGATGACTGCAGGCGCCAGTAGGGACACAAAGGCCAGTAAGGGACACGTGTCAGGACAAGCAATGCCTATCACCCCTACAGGCTCATGGATCTTAACTGTAGCACCATAGAACGGCGTTTCCTTAGGGAGGGGAGAGAGAGGAAAATATAAAAGCCACGAAGAAAAGGTACATGATTAGCAAACAAAACATCTTACTGCGAGTTCAAAAAAGCGCTTTATTTGAGTCTCGATGTATTTAGCACGAAAGTGCTAATTGGGGACACTATTTTTACATCTCCTACTGGAGACGGGACCGCCATTTTACGTGGTCATCCGAGTCACGCGAAGGTACGTCCAGCCGCTTGCAAGGCAAAGGGAGCACCTTCATTTTCCTCCGTTATTTTAAGACCCTGAGTGTTGGTCCGCTTCCGGGAATCGAACTCGGGAACTCCCGCTCTGCAGTCAAGCGCTCTACCGACTGAGCTAATCCTGCCAAGGTTGGAAACGAATCGTTGTATGAGAATTTTAAACAAGGGGCAACAGCTTTGAGAACCAGTCCCAAAGGTGTCCGTCTTAGAGAGTGTTGACTGCAGAATACGTAAGACATGGCCTTAAAGTGGCTCCTGGAAAGTTGCTTGGAGAACATACAAGACCAAATGGCAAGTAGACAGTTTCCTGCCACAAACACGTGACCATGATCAACTTGTTTTTGCAACGTACCAACTCGCCTACCACTTTGGTAAACTCGCCCTTCTATTCTCTAGTTAACATTATGGAAAGTTCCGTTGAGAACGTCTTCGCAAAAGGTTGAAGTATGTTAGTGAGTTGTACTTTCAGCGTACCCCCAAGTACAAAAGAAGAATCAAAGACGCCCAAGGGGGATTCTTGAGGAATTTGGGTGGAGGGGGCTTTCCAGCCCTAATTCCGACTATCCACTACAGCACGCACACTGATAAATGATACTAGCTGCCTGAACTACTTCGGAGAGGGAGTGTGCCCTACCAAAAACCCCAGGGAAAAGATGTTAGCCAGTTAATCAAGGAAGTCGGCAAGTTGAACGACTGAGCAAGTTAATACAAATGCAAATTAACTGTATACATTGTTTTAGTGAGTGGTTTGAACCCAGGAGTCATGATAAATGTCGGTGGGATATGATTGTCCGGGTGGGTGTAGTCCTGAATAGGACTAGTGGAGAGTGACTAATGACAACCCGTGCGGTAGTTATATTCACACACATTTAACTCGGAAGATGACCATCGAGCAGTTTGTCATCAGTCACTGTCGGTAAGTCCTATTCAAGACTACGAACAACCTGACTATCATTTTCCATCTACTGTATTAATGCCTATATTTTGTACCTACCGTGTGGCACGAAAGTTTTGCGATTTTTGCGATTTTCAAGCGATCCGCAAAAATAAGTTCCCGCACATAAAAATTACCACAAACGTTTACCCCCAAAACTTAACTCCAGAGTTAGTATTCTCTACCTTAAATTCGCTACACAAGACATTAAGAAGAAATCGTGTCTGTCTGAAATCGTGCCTCTTGCATTCAGAAACAAAACGGTATACAATGAATTACTGGTTTTACATAGGGTACGCATACCATAGTGTTGTTTGAGAGTATATATTCTGTTGCACGTACTTAACAAAAAAGCACATAAAAATTACCGCAAACATTTTTCCCGCAAAAATTTACTCCAGAGTTAATATTCTCTACCTTAAATTCGCTACAAAAGACATTACGAAGAAATCGTGTCTGTCTGAAATCGTGCCTCTTTCATTTAGAAACAAAACGGTATACAATGAATTACTGGTTTTACATAGGGTAGGCATACCGTAGTATTGTTTGAGAGTATGTATTCTATTGCACGTACTTAACGAAAACGAAAATATTATCAATGCTGGATACTGGGTAATTTGTGAAAACCGCAAAAATTAATTCCCAGCAAGAAAAACCAATCTGTCCTAATCGCAAAAAGTGGTTCCCGCAAGACACAACAAATCGCCAATTCGCAAAAATAAACTCCCCAAACATTTCGTGCAGCACGGTATTCTTGTTAACATTAGTTGGTTTATTCTCACACCTAGCTGTACAGTACCTCCATATTTATCTGCATAAGCACCCAGTAAAACCGCCGCTGTATTGCGATATCGACTTCCTTGCTGGCCTCCTCCTGCGAGCAGCCTGTCATATCGCACAGTCTCTGACTAAACTCGCTGCGTCGCAGCTCTAAATTTTCCGCCATGTAGTAAACAATTTGAGCTCTGTTGTAGGCGGCTCTCTTGCCCCAACTAAGGGAAAAGCTAATAAAAAAAATCATCTTAAACTCCAGAAGGTCTGGCCAGTTACCTATATTTTTTTGGTATTTTCATAAATTTTTATTTCGTCTTACAATAAATTTATGTATTACAATGTTTTACACGGTGACCCTTACATTTGTATGAAGACGAAAGAAAAATACAAAAACAAAAAAGAACGAAAAGAAAACTAACCATATACACATCGCACACACACAATTACATACTGATAAAAACACACCCCAGTAAATTCTTCTCTATTTACATGAAAAATTAATAAATGAAGAAAGCGGCGAAATGATCGTATGCGACTCAACTTTGTATTTGCTGCATTTCATATCGTGGGTCTCTAACTTATCGTCTGACTTAGCGATCATTGTCTCGATTACAAAACAGTGTTTAATTTTAGAAGTAAGAACTTTTTGGGACGGCACGAAAAGCTATCTGCGGGTATAGTGTGACCATAGCCTTTAACACCCTACTCCCCAACAATACACGTACCCTGGTGCTGCTTTATGTGCGGCCTCCACAGCATCTCTGATGTCCTTTCTGCTTCCGTCAGCCACTTGTCCTATAACTTCCCCTGAGGGGTTTTGTACGGGTCGAGAGTAGTTTCCGTCCGGTCGCTTCTGAGCTCCTCCAATGTAAACTTTGTAAGTATGATCAATACTGAAAAAAACGAAAAGAAAAGAAAGAAAAAACTACAAATGACTTCACATCGTAGTCCTCCACAGATGGTCGTGCTCTGGTTTGCCATGATGGGCAGACATATTCATACAAGCCCTGTCACCAAAATTTAACATTTATACACTTAATTAGGCTGGGAACAAATACTAGCTTAAAGGATTCACGGAGAAGTCCTTCTGTTAAAACAATGTTTAACATCCATTGTCAAGAACAAAATTCTAAAGCTATATTTACACTATGATACCGTGGGCTAGCTTTGCGTACCGACACGAAAAGCTAGCCCACGGTATAGTATGAACATCTATCCGACATGCGACTCTCCGCTTTACAGATCAGAGCAGCGCAGGTTCGCTCTGTCACAGAAATTGCGCCGCCACAACCATTTTTGAGTATGAACAGAAGCGCTATCCGGTATGATTTCCTGACGTGGCGGCGCAGAAGCGTATCTATTTAGGTTTCTGGGAAACTGCCCACCTACCCCTCCCCTAAGTCAACATTTTTACGTCTCGTTTGGGGCAAAATGTTGGCTTAGGGGAGGGGTAGGTGGTCAGTTTCCCAAAAACCTAAATTGGTCCGCAAAAGCTATCCGGCGTAGTGTGAACACAACCTAAAACTCAATTTTGTTGGAAAATTGGACTAAAAACGATCAAGTCTCAGGAGCTGAATACAAACATTATTGCTTTTAAATTTTCAATGTGATGCTATTTTGGACGATAATATTATTTCCACCTTTTTGGGTTGTAAATATTCTGAGGAATCAAGATTCTTCGCTGGAAACAAAGGCAACAAAAAGAAAAACCCTGAACTATTGAAAATGGTTGTGTTATATTAGAAATTTAAAAGCAAATGTATCATATGAGGTTTCTTTTTAGTTAGGTTGATGTACACATTAGAGACCTTTAGATACTGAGACGAGTACGACAACGAGTACGAGATTTTCCCAATACTAAGTAGTGCTCGCGCGTGAACCAGCGTCATTTCGGCGGGAACACGTGGTAGCCGTCGTCACTCTACTACGAGTTTTAGAGAGAATGTCGAAGTTGCGATGCTTGTAAAAGTTAGTTTAAAGAGGTTTTAAATTACGTATGCAAATTTACTTATATTTTTATAACAAAATTTCGAAGTCAGCGTTTTATGTTTTGCTTTGAACGGTACACTTGGAGATTTATGAAATTAGCTGTTCAGCTTAAGCCAAGTTAATTAAAGGTTATGTAAAACATTTATATTATTTACCATTTTGACAACTATTAAGACCATATTTCTCTTTCTCCATCGCTACTGATCCTTCATGACGCGAACCGACGCAAGTTATGTACCAAAAACAAACGCAGTTTATGATTAATTAAGAAGGTAACCTTCATATAAAAAATATACAGACACAATTGTCCAAAAGTTCAGATAAGCAACCTATTGTTGTTGTTTTTTTCGGCTGAAAGGGAAACTTTTACTCGTCAAAGTGTAAGATAAGGGGTGGGCGCGCATGAAAGCACTGACAGGCGGTGTGAATTTCTGCAGATGCGAAAAAGTATATTGCTTTCTCAAAATCCTTTTGACTGATGAATATTCAAAAATTATGCATTTTCTTTCCGTAACTGAAAAGCCGATATGAACTCGTTTATTCAGCTTATTCAGTTTATTCAATGAGTCATCACTTTGACGGAGAACTGTGAGAAACAAGAACTCAAAACAACTACTCAGCAATTCGCTGACCGCTGGTGAGACCGAATCCGAGATGAAACTGTTTTCGGCTATTCTAGCCATATATTTGGCACTTTTATGCGCAACAGACCTAGGTATTTTGTAATTTTTCCATACCACCATACAGAGTAATGTTCGCCGGGACCTAGCAAATCAGCAAAAGAACTAACTCAGGGGAAACCAAAAAACTAATAACACTCATAATTAGGAAACTGGTCACACGGAATAATACTACACTTATTTATCACAATATTGGGAGCCTCTGTATGATACCTGAGAACGTCGTTTTCGTCGCGTTCAGTTTTCCACCAAATCGTCGATTTTACAAAGAAATCATCTCATATCAAGCGAAATTGTTTTGCGTGGTATTAAACGCTACTGGCGAGCGCAACAACGTAGCGACGGCGACGACGACAAAGACGATAAAATAGAAAAAAAACAGATTTAATAAGCAAAATAAAAACACTCAGTGGGGGATCGCACGAAAAATGTTGTAAAATGCAACCGGATCGGAATGAAATCATCATTTCATCTTTAGCGATCGTTGCGGCTTCGATTTCGTCAGAAATACTTCTCCAAAATCTTGGTTATGATCACTTCATCGGCTACAAAAAAGATACTATTAGCATTTTTTTTCCGTGAAAAGGTTGCAATTTCCAGTCACTGGTACTTTTCACAAATTGAAGATCCTACTTAGATATTGTTGATTGATGTGAGTGCAATTTTTCTTGCAGTTCAGACAGGCAGTGTAATTAAACGAAGTGTTGTCAATGACCCAACACTTGCAAAACTGCAAGATATCGAGCGAATACTTGGTGAGTAAAGTTGATCCCTTAAAAATAAACCCCTTCTCCCCCCCCCCCCCCGCACTAATAGTTGGACTTCAGTCAATTTTTCTTCCAGTGCCTTCTTTCAAACAACAGTACCCACTGCGGGTACTTATTGTCGCGGTTCAGTGTTGTAATTTGGCGTTTTTCGCGAAAAAAAATCCTCGTCAAATTTAAACACGCGAAATGCAATGACCAAATAGTTCATAGAATACTCAAATCACAGAAAAGATGATAAAACATGTAATTATAACAGCATATACACAGTACAATAATGATTTGAAAAATGCACGAATAATTCACTGATTTTTAGTAAGTTCGGTTTTGTGTCTTCTATGAAAGAGGGTGTTTTAAATTAATTAATATTCGCATACTGAAGAAGAAACTCTAGCTAGTATCCGGCCGGATGCTCATACAGTTAATCTACAAATTTAGAATGCCAGAAACGTTGAAAAAAAAAAAAATCAAGTTGAGAACATTTGAATCGCGAAATTTAATGCCTTTTGTTCATATGCCATCACAGGTAACCCAGGCTCTGTGATAGTACCACCGTACGGTTCCAGTAAAATTACAGTGTTTGTATTGGGTAAAAATACCATCCTAACATTTCTAGGAAATACTAAATAAAGATCAATGAAACTTACTCGGCAGTTAATTGTTGTTGTCCTTATTGCTCCAATGAAGTTTCGTGATAATTTGCAGTAATTTGTTCAAATTCACTCTATATACAATAATAATATACAAGGTAGGAGACACGAGATGCCATTTTTGCCGACATGCTCTCATTCAACACAACTTTTTCCACGAAATTCGAACTGCAACGGAAAATAAACATGCCAGGATCGTAGAAGTAGGATAGCAGCAGATATAGAAACGATAAATTTATTGAGCTTTTGCCATAGTTATGCACAGATTCGAATAGATATCCACAAGAAGACGAAATTGCCAGATACGATGCATAGAGACTTCCCGCCGTCTTTCCCAGTTTGTAGGAAGGAGATATACAATGTTGTTCCTTTTCTGTTTATAAATTATCGTATTTATATGGCACTCGATGAGACAATGAAAACGATTCTTATTTACGTTTGACGTAGCAAATTTAGAAATAACTTGCGATCAGGCCTCCCAAAGAAAATGGAAAAATCTAAGGACCGCCTGATCGCAGATTAATGAAGAAAAATCAGACTGTTCAAGCAAATCGAGATTTTTTCTAGCTTACTGACTGTATATTTCAACTGTAAGTACTTTCCGGGGGGCAAAAAAGTTGCGATGCGTGTAAGAGGTTTCAAATTACGTATGCAAATTTACTTATATTTTTGAAACAAAATTTCGAAGTCAGCGTCTTATGTTTTGCTTTGAACGGTGCACTTGGAGATTTATGAAATTAGCTGTTCAGTTACATAAAGGTTATGTAAAACGTTTATTTACCATTTTGACAACTCATTAAGACCATATTTCTCATTCGCCATCGCGAATGATCCTTAGGCGACCAGACGCCGGGACCATACGCAAGTTATGCACCAAAAACAAACGCATTTTATGATTAAAAAGGTAGCCTTCATATCAAAAATATACCGACAAAATTGTCCAAAAGTTCAGACAAGCAACCTATTGTAGTTTTTTTTTCCGGCTAAAAGGGAAACTTTTACTCGTCAAAGTGGGAGATATACGCGCATGAAAGCACTGACGAGCGGTGTGAATTTCTGCAGATGCGAAAAAGTAAAGTTGACTGATGAATATTCAAAAGTTATGTATTTTCTTTCCGTAACTGAAAAGCCGAGACTAGATTTTTGCGTCTAACACGGGAAAAATCAAGTTTCGGGTACTTTTTAGCAGTGCCGTAGCTTTAGATAACACGCCTTGCGTGCTTTTGCGCACGCTGAAAGGGTGTTGTGCTCTTTTCCACGCAGCTGTTGTCGGCTTTCATTGACACGCGTTTTCTGTTTTTTTTAACTTGCTCACGCTTAATTGTCTCAAGCGTGTCCTCTAAAATGAACAAAAGAAATTGCTAATAAGGCAAGATGGCTTGCGTGCTAAAGCGTGTTAAAATGAATTGTTTTGTTTTAAAATGGAAGCTTTTCGTAAGCGTTCTTTCACCTTCAGCATCAAAATGCTGTGGAGGGTCACTTATTGTTGCTAGCAAAACTAGACCGCGTAATGCCGCAATAGTTTCATCCTCAACTTAACGCTTGAACTCGCTGTTCGGATGATCATGGTCTCGCCTCGTGATTTTTACGTCAATCATGCATAAGATCCTGTCTGAACTCGTTTATTCAGCTTCATCCTTCAATGAGTCATCACTTTGACAAAGCACTGTGAGAAACAAGAACTCAAAAGAACTGCCCAGCAATTCCCTGACCGCTGGTGAGACCGAATCCGAGATGAAACTGTTTCCGGCTATTCTAGCCATATATTTGGCACTTTTATGCGCAACAGACCTAGGTATAGTGTAACTTTTCTATACCACCATACAAAGTAATTTTCGCCCGGACCTAGCAAATCAGCAAAAGAACTAACTCAGGAGAAATCAAATTCCTAAGAACGCCCATACTTAGGAAACTGGTCACACGGAATAATACTACATTTATTCATCACAATATCGTGAGCCTCTGTATGATACCTGAGAACGTCGTTTTCGTCGCGTTCAGTTTTCCGCCAAATCGTCGATTTTACAAAGAAATTATTTCCGTATCAAGGGAAATTGTTTTGCGTGGTATTAAACGCTACTGGCGAGCGCAACAACGTAGCGACGGCGACGATTACAAAGATGAGAAAATAGATAAAAAACAGATTTAATAAGCAAAACAACAACACTCAATGCCTTCATCGCACGAAAAATGTTGAAAAACACTAAAAAGTTGCCGGATCGAAATGGTAATGCGACTGTTGTTTTAGTCTGACTCTAAAATCGTCATTTCATCATTAGCGATCCTTACGGCTTCGATTTCGTCAAAAATACTTCTCCAAAATCTTGGTTATGATCACTGCATCGGCTACAAAAAAGATACTATTAGCGTTTTTCCGTGAAAAGGTTGCAACTTCCAGTCACTTGTACTCTTTAACAAATTGAAGATCCTACTTAGATATTGTTGATTGATGTGAGTGCAATTTTTCTTGCAGTTCAGACAGGCAGTGTAATTAAACGAAGTGTTGGTAATGACGCAATACTTGCAAAACTGCAAGATATCGAGCGAATACTTGGTGAGTAAAGTTGATCCCGCTAACAATAAACCCTTTTTTTTTTTTTTTGAATTTAGAGATAGCCTTCACGAACTGATAGTTAGACTTTTGGTCAATTTTTGTTCCAGTCTCTTCTATCAAACAACAGTACTTACTGGTACTTATTTTCGCGCTGTTCAGTTTTATAATTTGGCGTTTTTCGCGAAAAAGAATCCTCTTCAAATTTAAACAAGCGAAATTCGGTATATACTTCATGGTAGAAAGCCACAAGTGCACCGGTAATATACACTCTGTGTAATATGTAGTATTGTTTCTTCTCCCTAATAGCTAGTGGTAGTTACTAGTAGTTACTTGTAGTTACTAGTAGTTACTAGTAGTTAGTGGTAGTTATTAGTAGTTAGTGGTAGTTACTAGTAGTTACTGGTAGTTACTAGTAGTTGTCAGTAGTTACTAATAGTTACTAGTGGTTAATAGTAGTTCTTGGTATTTACTAGTAGTTAGTGGTAGTTATTAGTAGTTACTGGTAGTTACTAGTAGCTATCGGTAGTTACTAGTAGTTACTAGTAGTTGATGGTAGTTACTAGTAGTTGTCGGTAGTTACTAGTAGTTACTAGCAGTTGATGGTAGTTATTGGTATTTACTAGTAGTTACTGGTAGTTGATGGTAGTTTATGGTATTTACTAGTAGTTAGTGGTAGTTATTAGTAGTTACTGGTATCTACTATCAGTTACCGGTAGTTACTAGTAATTGCTGGTAGTTGTCGGTAGTTACTAGTAGTTACTAGTAGTTGATGGTATTTACTAGTAGTTACTAGTAGTTACTGGCAGTTACTAGTAGTTACTGGTAGTTACTAGTAGTTATCGGTAGTTACAAGTAGTTACTGGTAGTTACTAGTAGTTACTGGTAGTTACTGGTAGTTACTAGTAGTTGTCGGTAGTTATTAGTAGTTACTGGTAGTTAGTGGTAGTTCTTGGTAGTTACTAGCAGTTGTCGGTAGTTACTAGTAGTTACTGGTAGTTGGTGGTATTTATTTGTAGTTAATAGTAGTTACTGGTAGTTACTAGTAGTTGTCGGTAGTTACCAGTAGTTGTCGGTAGTTACTGGTAGTTACTAGTAGTTGTCGATAGTTACTAGTGGTTGCCAGTAGTTGTTGGTAGTTGTTGGTAGTTACTAGTAGTTACTGGTAGTTGATAGTAGTTATCGGTGGTTACTAGTAGTTACTGGTAGTTACTGGTAGTTACTAGTACTTACTAGTAGTTAATAGTAGTACTTGGTATTTACTAGTAGTTAGTGGTAGTTATTAGTAGTTACTGGTAGTTACTAGTAGTTATCGGTAGTTACTAGTAGTTGATGGTAGTTACTAGTAGTTACTGGTAGTTACTAGTAGTTGATGGTAGTTTTTGGTATTTACTAGTAGTTCCTAGTAGTTACTAGTAGTTGCTGGTAGTTAATAGTAGCTCTTGGTATTTACTAGTAGTTAGTGGTAGTTATTAGTAGTTACTGGTATTTACTAGTAGTTACTGGTAGTTGCTAGTAGTTATCGGTAGTTACTAGTAGTTGGTGGTAGTTATTAGTAGTTACTGGTATTTACTAGTAGTTACTGGTAGTTGCTAGTAGTTATCGGTGGTTACTTGTAGTTACTGGTAGTTACTAGTAGTTGTCGGTAGTTACTACTAGTTACTAGTAGTTAATAGTAGGTCTTGGCATTTACTAGTAGTTAGTGGTAGTTATTAGTAGTTACTGGTATTTACTAGTAGTTACTGGTAGTTACTAGTAATTGCTAGTAGTTGTCGGTAGTTACTGATAGTTACTAGTAGGTGATGGTAGTTACTAGTAGTTTCTGGTAGTTACTAGTAGTTATCGGTAGTTACTAGTAGTTACTTGTAGTTACTAGTAGTTACTGGTAGTTACTTGTAGTTGTCGGTAGTTATTAGTAGTTACTGGTAGTTAGTGGTAGTTCTCGGTAGTTACTAGTAGTTGTCGGTAGTTACAAGTAGTTACTGGTAGTTGGTGGTATTTATTTGTAGTTACTAGTAGTTAGTGGTAGTTGGTGGTATTTATTTGTAGTTACTAGTAGTTAGTGGTAGTTACTAGTAGTTGTCGTTAGTTACTGGTAGTTACTAGTAGTTATCGATAGTTGCTAGTGGTAACTAGTAGTTGGTGGTAGTTGTTGGTAGTTACTAGTAGTTACTGGTAGTTACTAGTAGTTGCTGGTACTTACTAGTAGTTAGTGGTAGTCACTTGTAGTTGTTGGTAGTTGCTAGTAGTTACTGGTATTTGCTAGTAGTTATCGGTGGTTACTAGTAGTTACTGGTAGTTACTAGTAGTTGTCGGTAGTTACTAGTAGTTACTAGTAGTTACTGGTAGTTACTAGTAGTTGTCGGTAGTTACTAGTTCTTACTAGTAGTTAATAGTAGTTCTTGGTATTTACCAGTAGTTAGTGGTAGTTATTAGTATAGGTATCGGTAGTTACTAGTAGTAGCTGGTAGTTACTAGTAGTTCCTAGTAGTTATCGGTAGTTAGTAGTAGTTACTGGTAGTTTAGTAGTTCGCGGTAGTTACTAGTAGTTGTCGGTAGTTGCTAGTAGTTACTAGTAGTTAATGGTAGTTCTTTGTATTTACTAGTAGTTAGTGGTAGTTATTAATAGCGGAGCTCCATAGCTAAGGAAATGTGGTAATCTACCCATCCGAGAAAATTTGGTAAACACGTGACCGTACGCCCGACCGTCCGTCCGCACCACAGGGAAACCAATGTTTTCTCTCACACTTTCTAGCTAGTTTGGGAGCCCAGTAGAAAACTAATTGCACATCAATGTTGTGCTCAATTGACAGCCGTCAAAACAGGATATCCGCTGACCAATGTCACCTGACCGTACCGCGGGCTCAAGTGTCGACCCATCGAATTCGAGTACGTTTTTGAAGTTATCCGCTGACAAATTACCAGTTTTAAATGATCGCAGGCTCAAGTGTATTTTTTCCAACGATTCATATGAAATATGTTGTGTTTATGTCACTATGGCCCCGCACTGTCAATATTTTGATTTCAAACTGACCTCGGACGCGAAAATTCAGCCACTTTTTTAAAAATAAAGGCGGGGAAGACCTTTTCT